TTAGGGCGCAAATCTGATGACGTGCCTTTATTGTCTTTCTACTTTTCCCTTTGCACATTTAACGTTTTATTTCCCCTCATTCCCTATACGAGTTCAGACCACGTCCACTCCGTGTTTAAAAGTTGATAAGAAACTAGCACATGTGTAACGTATGATTCCGTGCCCCAGCGTACGGTTACCTGCCATCGTTCCTACTACATGCCACGAAACAACATCCACAAACGTTACGGTAAAAACTTGCAACAGTCACCGTTATAGCGCGCCAGCGATACCTGCCATGTAACAGTTATCTGCAACGTTGGCAGTATCTCAACCATACGGTACCTGCAACGTGCACTACCCCTGCAACCTTAGCAGTATCTGCAGACGTCACATTATCTGTAAACCCGTTACGAGTGCGCGAGCGCGTCCGTAATTGCAACGCTACGGTATCTGCTTTAAGAACTGTACCGGGTGATCCCTGACAATTTACTGTTAGAATGCTACGTACAGTATCTTTATTCCGTGCTGTATCTTCAATGTACTGCTACACTGCTAACGTACGACTACCTGCAACCACGGTACCGTGCCACGTACAGTTGACCATGCAGCCGTACAATATCACAGACGTCGGGAAAAAAAAACTTAAAACAACGTACGGTAACTTGCAATGTACAGGTACCTGCTGTGTACCGTACCTGCCTATATACAGTATATTTCCACGTACAGTATTTCAACCGTACGGTTCTGCAATGTTGACAGTATCTTGCAACGTACGCGGTAACTACAGATGTACGTTGCAACCGAACGGTTAACTACAATGAACCCGCCACTGGTACCTTGCAGCGTACGGTTACCTTGCCACGTTACGCGTAACTACAATGTACGTGCAACGAACGTAACTACAAATGAACGTACGGTACCTGAGCGTTACGGTACTACAATGTACGTGCAACGAACGGTAACTACAATGAACGTACGGTACCTGCAAGCGTCGGTACCTGCAGCGTACCGGTACCTGGCAGCGTACGGTACCTGCAGCTACGGACCTGCAGCGGACTGGTACCTGCAGGCGTACGGTACCTGCAGCGTACGGTACCTGCCAACGTACCAGTTTATGCAATTTACAGTTCCTGCAACGTACGCTACGAGCAACGCCCACGTTACGAGAGCGCCAAAGCCGTTCGTCAGAAGACGCAGGAGGCGGGGGCGTACCAGGCAGCTGGTTCGTGCGCGCGAGTGCACGGCGGAGGCGGAGCCGGCCCCGCGTGGTGGGCCGCGCCTGCGCCCGGCGCTGGTCCAGCTTGCGCGCCAACCCGCCTTCCCGTCAGCGCCCCTCCCCGCGACGCCAGCAGCCGCCGCTCCTCGGGGCGCACGGCTCAGCGCCGGCGCCAGCGCCTGCAACACCGCCCGCCTTGCTCTCGACACCTGCCGACGCGACGCGCGCGCAGCACCTGCGCAATGTCGGTGTGCGTGTGCGCGGCGCGCGGGTTGTACGGGGCGTGCGATACCTACATTATGCGGTACCTGCAGTGTGCGGTACCTGCATAGTACAGCGCCTGCAACTTGCTATATCTGAGACACGCGGTACCTGCAGTACGCGGTACCTGCAGTACGCGGTACCTGCAGTACGCGGTACCTGCAGTATGCGGTACCTGCAGTATGCGGTACCTGCCGTACGCGGTACCTGCAGCGCGCGGTACCTGCAGCACGCGGTGCCTGCAGCAGTGATACCTGCATTGTGTGGTATTAGCATGAGATGGTTCTCGCAGCGCGCGGTACCTGCAGCGCGGTACCTGCAGTTCTCAGTTCCTGCAATACGCAGTATCTGCAGTTTGCGTTACCCGCAAAGCGCGATTCTGCAGCGTGCGGTACTTGCAGCGTGCAGTAGCTGTAACATGCAGTACCTGCAGCATGCAGTAGCTGGAACATGCGGTACCTACACGTACTTCACGTGATACCGCAGCCTGCGATACTTATAGTTTGTGGTACCTTCACAATGTAGATGGTGCAAAGTTAAGTACCTACGGTGTGCTATATTTTCAGCGTGCAGTACTCTATGCAGCGTGCTGTATCTGCAGTTTGCAATACATGCACCGTGTTGTATCACGAGCGTTAGTTAAGTCCATTGTGCAATCCCAATTACTTGCAGCGCGCAATACATGCGCCATGTGCTACCAGCAATGTTCGGTACTTGCAGGGTCTGGTTCTGCATTCTGTAGAAGCAACATTATACAATACCTGCTAGCAGGCGCACCATAAACATGCTGTATAAGTAATCTGTAATGCCTGCTGCGTTCTGTAACTGATAAGTGCGATTCCTACAGTTCCTTCTAGTGCGATCTGGTAACATGCAACAAAAGCACGGCTCCGTACGTGAAATGTGTTGTACCTGCATTACGTGATATCTGCAACGTGCAATGTCTACAATACGCTATATCTACGAGATGTAGTATCTGCAATATTACGTTTCTGAAGCATGTGGTACATCTGATACGTAGTAGGTACAATTCGCGGTACTTGCAATATTGTCGACATACATGCGAAATATTTCGTCAAAATTTTCAAGTGTATGTGATTTTCTGTCATTCATTTTATTGAACTTGATAGTAAGTTCAATTTTGAGATAAAAATAAATATTTACTTTGTAAAATACATTATTCCTTATTGTCCCACTATTTCATAATTCCATTATTGTCCTAAGCAAGTTAAATTTTCCCAAAATGTGAATACTTGACTCTTGTAACATGTTCCGCTTGTACGTCGACGATACGCTTTGCATGTAGTACGTAAAATATAATCACTTCAAATGTTCTGAACCTGCAAATTTGCTATACTTTGGGTATCAGCAATATGCGGTACCTGCAGTCAACGGTAATAGCTCTAGTGTGCAATTTATACAGTGCCTGCCGAGTGCTGTACTAACGGCCATCTGCACTTCTATTGTGGAGATGTCTGAGATTGCAGGTCCAGACAGTACAAAGTGCAAGAAGTGTGAAATGGTTCTCAGACTAGATGTTGACGTTGCTATTCGAGTAAAGCGTGTGTTACAATCACTGCCAGGTGCACAAGCGTTAATAATGTTTCCCTTTCCAATAGCACAATTTTAAATGTCTTGAAATATAAAATAATTTTTTAAAATTATGTCTTAATGCTTTATACAAACATGTATTACGTATGAAATTTGCCGGTAACACTGTCGTACTATTCGCTCATTCGTTTGAGTAGGAAAGTTTGATGGTTGAACTTGGTAGATATCGGAAAATTCGATTTTGAAAGTATTATACGATCTTTTGAATAAAATACTTGAGTGAATGTGTGAAGAGTACTGACGTTTACGTAGTATAGGTACAAGAAAATTTCTTCACAAAACACACGCATGCACATATAAAAAAACAGTAAATTACATCCAAAATGGCTTCCCTCATGCAAACATTTCATGAAACTCTCAACACACAAAACGTATTTTTCAGAAACGTGCATGAATTTATTTTTACATTTAGAAACGAAGCTTTACATTTAGAACAAAATATGCGAAAACGACCGAAAGAAACAGATGAAGACGAGAAAAGGCGAACAGGACGTGTGACAAAATTTCACGTCAGTGAGGATGATAGAGATGAAAATACCGATCGGCTTTCGGTAATAATGTATGTATGAATTAGGAGACATAGAAGAGAAAATGCGCTGTTCAAATTTGTAAACTACCAGACAATTGGAAATACTGGAAGGGAAGTCGAGAGGACACGAAAATATGAGAGTCAATGAAATGAAAACGAGACAGACCACATAACGAACATGTTACGAAAGTTGAATAGCTGAGGTGTGTGTGTGTGTGTGTGTGTGTGTGTGTGTGTGTGTGTGTAGAAGTTCACTCTATTGGTATTCAGGAAGGAACAACGCAAACGCCTCCATTTACCTATTAGACGTGCTGGAAGTAAAGTCAGCGAGTCAGTGCGCATCTTACATCGCTATGAATACAGGAAAAGAGGAACAGCGAGATGTAATCATGCCGAAATGTCTGTTGTGCGTGATAAACACAGCATGCCACGTGCTCAGGCTTTTCGTAGCCCTTCTGTCATTTCTGGGGTAGACGTTGCCATCAGAAGTGACCGACCGCAGACTGTGGAAGACCTTCGGCTTATGCTCAGCATTAATCACAATATTACTTGTGCAACTTTTCTGGAACGATGGATTCAAAATGCGGGTAGAGTGGGAGTATTAGTTACGAATTCGGCTAATAGATTTGATGAAGCAATGCCAATCTTCGCAACGTTCTCAATAATTTGCGTTCTAACTTTCTCACGAGTTCGAAGTATCTCCTGCGATACATCTTTCCCTGCTTCGATCATGTCTTTAGATTTTTTGGAGAAAATAAGGGATAGAATTTCTCGCCTACGAAAGAAAATTTCTTCTATTTCTCGCCAATGAAAATGTTTTTCGAATGTTGTCATTAGCACTCGCAGCTTTTGCCTTCAACCGTTTATTGTGTCAGAGAGGGGGAAGCAAGGTCATCGTTCAAGAAACGTTGCGTGAGTAATACCACACTGGTATCTTGACAAATGACCTGAAGTTCCTGAAAATCTGTTCGTAGTGGGTCCCCCATACCCAGATGGAAAGTCATAAATTGAGCAGATGAACAATGTCGAAATCACTGCAGCACCTGGGACGGAATCAAATTTAAGAATATCGTTTCCTGTTCCGTCCATTACCTTCGGACGAACAGGTGCACGCCTGGATACTATCAGTGTTCCATAGGCAACTACAAACAATTTTATTCTGAGGACACGGGCTACCTTTTCTTACAGTGGGACAACTTTATAACTAAGATTATTATTTACTTGTCTGTTGCTTTCTGTGTTTTTTAAAATTAGTCAGTCTGTATTTGACCTTTAATTTAAAGACATAATATTAAAATAAACTGCTTTATGTCCATATAACTTGTGTGCATTAGTTCTTCATGCAATTCTTCTGTTAAAATCTGACATCTGTTAATTGTTTATAATATTTTATTAATTATTTGTTTTCTGCCATTACGCCTGACAATGGAAATAATTAATTTCCGAGGCGTTGCTGTTATTTAGTGTCACATAAATTATATGTATTGATATAAAGCAGTGATTTTATTTTAATATTCTGTCATTAAATTAAAGGTCAAATACAAAATGACTAACACTGTAAATAGTTTTGGCGATTACTTCGAAGTAATGAACAGCTTACTTACTTTTCCAATCTGTCTCGTTTTCATTTGTCAGACCCTCTTAGATTAGACACAAGCGACACGTAACAAATGATTAATGGAGACGACTTGTGCGCACAGGTGAACGAGGAGAGAATCTTTGTGGAAAGATATGTAGAGAAGAGAACGACAAAAAGGGAAAACAAATATCGAAGGTCACTTGAAGGAGGTGGAGGTGGAATACCTTTAGGAAATCAAATGAAGCAAAAGAAGAACCCATGTTTCAAGAGAGCGCGTACAAAAGAAACAGATCACGACTTTAAGACAAGTAATGTAGAAAAAGCACGACATGCTGCAAGAGATACAATAGAGCTAATCTACAATAAAGGGAAAAGCTATGCTTCAAGAAATCATGAAAAAAAGATACAGAATTATACGGAGAGCGTAAAAAAGTGTCACGTTTCAAGAGAACGTTAGCACGCGCACAAGGAGAAAGAGAGAGATACAGAGACCGAAAGAGAGAGAGAGAGAGAGAGAGAGAGAGAGAGAGAACAAATTAAAAAAAAATGAAGAGAAAAAGGTCGTAAGTAAGACACAGAATACATTTTCATGAGATCAAGAGATCGCCACATGCTCCACGAAATTACGGGCAAGAAAGAAATGTCAAGTTTTAAGGAGAGAGAAAGAACGATTCATGAAGGAAACGACTGCAAGAAAGAGACAATGAGCGCGCGAGGAAGAAACATACACCGAAAGAGAGAGAGAGAGAGAGAGAGAGAGAGATTACGAGTATTGAAGCGAGCTAGAGAACAAGAAACCACAGTATTGTGCGGAAGAAAGAGAGAAAGAAAGAAAGAAGAAATCTTCCACGCTCCAAGAGAGAGGGAGAGAGAGAGAAGAAGAGAGAAGAAGAGAGAAGAAGAGAAAAGAAGAGGGAAGAAGAGGGAAGATGAGAGAAGATGTGGTTTAATGGGAAGGAGGCAATGATCCACGATTCAAGAGAGAACGAGTCTTGAAGTGAACAATAGAGAAAGATGAAACTGACAGCGCCAAAAGGGAGCATGACTAGTCTGGCACACGGAACAGGTAGCTCCAGACGTAGAGAGAAGCAGAGAAAAAGAGAAGAGTGAAGCGAAGCGAGAGGGGAGGGCCTACCTTGGAGGGAAGCTGGGAGAGGGACGGCAACGGCGACCGGCGGCCAGCCGCCCCCGCCCCCGGGGCGCGCCCCTGCAACCCAAGCACAGGCTCCTCTCAACGGGGCACTTGCGTCGCTCACACTCACTCACACACACACACTCACGCACTCACACACACACACTCACGCACTCACACACACACACTCACGCACTCACACACACACACACTCACGCACT